AATTTATCAACGAAATAGACTTATTTATGTTATTGAACTTGATCAATTTCAAAATATTATTATCGAATTATCACCACCAACGACACCAGAAATGTCATCATTAAATACAGTACAATTTCGTGATGGACAAATATCAAATAAAATCTATGCGAATTATATGCAACGAACACCCTGGTTATCAATATATGATTTACGTCTATTTAGTAATGAGTATCCAATTGAATTGTACCTTGTTGGATTCAGTATTGTACAACGACGAATGTAAATTATATTTTGATTATGATATAGATATATGTGTATGTGTGCGAGTGAAACTATTGAATATGTAGAATTGTTGTATTTGATGAGAAAATAGATACGTAAGGCATGTTATTTAAAATCGATTTAAATGAAAAAATAAAGATTAAATCAAAACATAATGATATACAGTTACTTTCAATTTATCTATGCTTGAATCTTAGAAATTTCATCATACTCATAAAATTTTTGGACATGTATTCGAATAATATTCGCATGATAAAGTATTGATAATAAATTTCTCAGAATTAATAATGAAAAAAATATATAATGTAAATCTATGAGAAAAAATTTTAACGTTTCGATCTGTTGTATACATCTGGCAAGTGCACTTGAAATATTAGCAAGTTTTTTTTATCTTGTATTTCTATCAAAATATTTGAATTCAATCATCAAATAGTATTATAAAAGAAAGGCACTTGTGCCAGATCAAGTCACTTTTATAATTGATTAACAACGTATTTGATATCTTTAAAAAAAAATAATATATAGTGACTTGGTTAAATAAAAATCCGTAAATTTTACCACGAAATATTATTGACTGAATTTATCTCAATTGAAATATATTAAAAAAAATAAAAGATTTTATTTCAATAGAGATCATTTGATTATATAGTATTCACGTTCTCAATGTTGATCATTGATACAATGTGTGCGTTATGTGATAAATAATATCACACCAGTGCTGTTAAAATCATTCTTTGTAATTATATTTAGAAATATTGTAATAAATTATTGAAATTTGTCATGAGTTATATTATTTAACATACTCTTTGAATATATGTATGTGTCTATGGTCACTATTAGTTTTTATAAGACTTATATAGAGTCAATACAGCGTTTATCAGGGTGGGTGTGAGTTTCGTTATTATCTCTACTCACCCACCCACCCCCAGGTTCCGAAAGAACCTTCAACTAAAGAGGAAAAATACTTAACGCTCAACGTCAACAATGATCACCTGAATCCAAGAGAGAAAAGGTGGATCCTGGATCCTTCGAAGTCTGATGGCATCTAATAAATCCTACCAGATCTTATGGATTCTGTTGGATCTTTTTAAACCAGCAGTGGACGATTGGAGAAGTCGATCGGGAAACTGTTCCACTTTAAGGAGAAATGGTTCACCCCAACTAAAGCAACACATTAAGGAGAAATGGAAAACGCGAAAGCAATATCTATTCAATAAATTATTCGATACCGTACAGATATTCAGTACAAAGAGAAATCCTTTTCATTCCAAAGGGAAATAGGGTAAACGTGAATATATACGCATTCAAATATCCAATTCAATACGATATCGACATTTTCATTTACAGAGCAATCCATTTTTTCAAGTTCCATTTCTCATTATGAGTGAAGATATGGATGAATCATTTCACACTATAATTAATTCATTGCCGCTGGTAAAAAACAATCTCTTCTAGAATATCTTCTTCGAGTGAAAAAATAAAAATGATTGATATCCCTTTTTGTTTCTTTCATTTCTCTATATGAGTGCAGATTTTGTTGAATCATTTCATATTATAATTTATTCATTACTGCCGGTAAAAAACAATCTCTTCTAGAATATCTTCTTCGAGTGAAAAAATAAAATGGTCAATATCTCTTTGAATTTTTTTCATATCTCCCTATAAGCGGAGATATGGATCAATGTTTGGACTTCGAATTGTTTCGACTTCGATCGAAAAATGATATGCCGTTGACTTTGTGAGGGTAAAGGACTTCTCCTTGAAGCGGAACAGTTTCTCTCGGTTGCGGGATATGGTCCATCCCTCTTTTAAACCCTAGGATTCAGTAGGCTCCGCTTTTTCTCCCTTGCCCATACACACACTCTCATTTCCGAATAACGGCAACATCTCCAAGTTGCTCAACTTGATCATAGATCATCATTATGATAAAACAGTTTACTTCTATCACCAGAAGATTCTGTTGTTTTCTTTTTCTTCCTTGCTCGCTAGTTAGATTTTGTCATCTTTGTCATTACAATAGATATGACTAATAGAAGTTTTTTGTTATTTTAACAACCAAAAGAAATAAATTCACCTCTTTTTCGATAAACAAAGCTGATAAGGCGAAGCATATAATAGTTTACTGTTCCATTTTCTGCAAGACATTACACGGTAAGAGATAGTTTTATTTTTGAAACAACATATTTGTTAATCTAAAAAGAAGACTAGAGTATATCGTAAAATGATCATAAATATATACATTTTTTTAAATTTATACCATAAATTACAGTATTAAATAAATGTCTGAAATATTACGTATTACTTGACTATTGCTTACATATTTACTCTAACTTTTAGTAGCGACAATCTTTGCAGCATTGATTACTAATTTCATAATACATAGTAACAGTATATACTTTCTTGCTTATCAATCTGTAGTTTGGCTTTGCGTTTAATCGACTATGACAGTCATTTATTTTATCTAGATTTGATCTTAAAAAACAGTATTCGAATGAACTTTACAACTCTTGATTTTCATATAGAACTCTGATTTTTTCCAGAAATTTCCCTGCTTTTGGAATATACAGCTCTGCGATTGTAGTACTATTTTCAAAAGGTTACTTAACAACAGTTTCAGTTAAAAAACAAGAGATAATAACGAAGAAACTTCATTGTTGTTTTCTATTCTGTTTATTTGTAGAATATTGTATACATTTTATACTCGCATTAGCTACCTACTCATTGCTTGTTCCTCCATATAGATAAATACTGAAATTGTGCACACATTTTAATGCGTAAAATTTGTTCTAGTAAAATAAGATTCGTAAGTATTAACTGACATGATTTTACTGTTTTCTCAGAGAAAAACCTTTTTGATGCGTCAAAATATATCTTTTAAGAACAAAACGTCAGGCTTTTCATCATCTTTTCAGTTATATGATCATCATCAAATAAAGCTCATTATCAAAAAAATAAACAATGAAAACACCAGACGACGCATTATTATGTCCTATTACACTTGAACTATTTCGTGATCCTGTTGTGGCACAAGATGGCCATACATATGAGAGACAAGCTATTGAAGAGTGGATACGAAAATATGGCACAAGTCCTCTTACTAATCAACAACTATCATTAGAACACTTAGTTTCAAATTATGCTATAAAGAAAGTAATTGATCATTTTGAAACTTCGTCAGTCGGCAGAAATTTCCAGTATATACTTGGTAAAGATGTAAAGAAGAAAAAAGGTCGACCGCTTTTTCAAACTTCTGGAAAAACTATTTATCATGCAGAATGGTTACCAACGAATGATAATCGTCCAGAGGTAGTTTTATTAAAAATTGAAGGTGCTCGTGCAAATAAAGATGCATCATTTTATGTTAATCTTAGTCGTCATCCGCATATTGTTCGAACTTTTGGTTTAGTACGTGATGATGATGATGATAATATAAGCTCTATTGTGATGTTACAAGAATATGCATCTGAAGGTAGTCTTTACGAAGTTTTAACCGAACGTAAAAACCCATTAGAAGAAGAAATTTTATTAGAGATATTTTTACAAATTATTGATGCAATGAGTTATTTAGCGTTAAATAATGTGGTTCATGGTGATTTAGCATGTCGTAATGTACTTGTATTTCGTTTTGATGAAAAAGATCCAAGAAATATTGTCGTAAAAGTAACAGATTTTGGACTAAGTCGTTATAGTAAAATTTATAGTCAAACGATCACTGCTGCACAAACAGCATTAAACATTATCCCAATACGGTATTGTGCACCAGAAATACTTTCAAAAAATTTAACTGCCAATGATTATACGGAACAATCCGATGTATATTCAATGGGTATATTAATGTGGGAAGCATATTCTCGAGGTGCTATACCTTGGACAAATATTGAAAGTAATGACGATGTTATTCAAAAAGTTCGAAATGGTGACATGTTACCGCAGCCAAAAAATTGTAGCTCAAGATACTGGAATATTATTACTAAAACGTGGGCTAAATTACCTAATCAACGACCAACATTTAATCAATTGAAAGAACTTTTCAAAGGACAGCTATATCAGACTACAACATCAGCAGCCAAGCTAAGTATGTCATGTATATGTATATATAATCAGGAAAGGGAAAAGTGGTCTATCGATAGCAAAATATCAATTATATTTATGTGCAGTTTTTGTATAAGGTGTAGTTTTTATTTAGACACATATATGTTCAAACTACCAATGGATAGGACACCATCGTTTCATGCGCAGCTTAATAATAATAGTAAGTAAAAGTATTCAAAGATGGATTGATAATGTAATCCGAGTTCAAATTTCACATGACTCTTTGTCTTGTGTATATTTTGTTATTAGGTGTTACTATAATCCGAGATCTTTTTCCTTATCATGAAGTCATACATTATGTATTACGCTCACCTCTTCTTATTTATAAATGAGGAAACTGTATGTTTTCGGTTTATTGAGTAATGAAATAACTGAAAATCTATTGTTCATAAGCAGATCCAATTAATTTTTGATCGATCTTACTTTGTTAAGTCACATGAATATTATTCATTCGGTCAAATGCGTGTTTCGTTATATATATAGTTGATTTACAGCGACAATCAGTACATTTTATTACTAGATTGGAAGAATTAACATAAAATAAACGTATATATGTTTCCTTAGACCTGGCATCATACTATCATCATCAAGATACACCTCCAGTTCAACAAACTACTTCACCAGGTTATTTCACATTTTTTGCTCTTTTAATTTTCATTTCTTGATAACGATTCGTCTAATAGGAGCTACCAACAACACTAACATTGATCATGGAATAGAGTCTATGCATCTAGTACGCACACAAATTAGTATCAATAAACAAAAATGTATAGTCAAAGGGAGAATCACTTGTAGTGGTGAGGAACTATATGCAGTGGAGAGTGATAAGCCACTCCCTGGATATGATGGACTATGTCCAAAATGTCGTACAAATCATGTACGTTTCGATGATCCAAATAGAGGTTTTTACATGTCGGTGAAAAATGCACATGATATAGTTAACAAACAAAAACTAGATAATGAACGTTTGAAAGGTCGAAAAGACATTCCACAACTAACAAATATAGTCGATAATCTACCACCACTTGATCAACCCATACTTGGCAAAAATAAAGGTATCGAAGGTGATTCAAACTCATGTTATATGGATGCAACTATCTTCTGTATGTTTGCATATAATAATGTATTTGATAAACTACTTCATATGGAAGTCAAAGCAAAACCACTAAAAAAACTACAAAAAATACTACGTGAAACTATTGTTTATGCACTTCGTGACAAAAAGAATGGCTTTGTTCAACGTAAGATCTCTTTTTCTTTTTCTTTTACTTTTTTTTCGAAGAACAAGATTTGTTTTTGTAAATAGGTGATGCTCTTTTTCATCTACGACTTCAACTTAGTGAAGCAACACATGATCCATCATTCAAAGAAATGGAAAAAGATCCAAGTGAATTTCTTCGAGCATTTGAAACACTTTTTCAATATGCACCACTCAAAACTATTTCACCTGATCAACCACCAAAATCAGATGAATCAAACATTACAACAAATATTATTTGTATGTCTCTTCACTTTTATTTTCATCTACAATTCTTATTATTTTATTTATTTTAAATGTTAAACAGGGGAAATGTTTGATGCTAATCCACATCGACTACCTTCAACAAATATTGCTAGTATATTTCGAAATTCACTTTCAGAAATTCCAGCTAAACTAGCAACAATTCCACCTTTTCTTGTTTTGGTTGCTCCTCGTCATACACGTTCTCAACGTTCATATCGTTATATTATACCTGATCGTGAGATTACACTTGACAATTCTATTGTTCAACTTGTTTGTCTCAAATGTCAAAAAACAAATCATGATCCTGAAACATCAAAGGAGTTTTATTTTTGTAATGAATGTCATGAAAGAGAATCATCACCTACAGTATCCATTGACGCTACAATTACATGCTATTGTACAAATTGCTTATCTGATATGCATAAACATTTAGCTGGATCAATTCATACTCATCATACAAAACGAGTTTCACCGGACAAAATTAAACTTAATCTTTTTGCTGTATTATGTATTGAAACAAGTCATTATGTTGCATTTGTAAAATGTCAAAAACGAAATCCATTACAACATGAATGGCTGTTTTTTGATAGTATAAGTGATCGATTATATGATGAACAGAATGTACCCCTTGTCGATAGTGTGCCAGATTTCGATAACTGGATTGATGATGCTGAAAAAGGCAAAGATGATTTTTTTAACTGGTTGGACGATCGTCGAGGAAAAAGACAACCTACATCACAAACATTTAGTGAAAACAGCATGCGACAACTACGTTTATTTCGTGATGGTGCTTTTTTCTTTTATGAAAATACTAATATGAATTACTAATAGAACAAGTAGATTTTTACTCTCTTTTGTTTTTATTCATCATTTTATATTTTCAACTATAGTTCTAATATCATTGATTTGCAAGATAATATGTCGATTTTATATGCACATGATTTTCATTTTGTAATAAAGTAAAAAGATAACTCACCAATCAATTGCGTAGTGCGAAACTTCATTGCATAAAAAACTATTTTCACAGTGGTACATCATGAACAAAAAAGTTGCATACGACTTCAATGTTATTCTTCATGAATAAAATAACTTGTAAAGTAGTTTTTACAGTTATCTTATAGAATATAAGATATATCTCAAATCTTTCCTTGAGATGCATTACTCACATGACCATTGTTATAAAAGAATTATCATCTCAGAGAACAACAATAACTGTTTCTGCATCTATTAATATATTAAAAGTTTTTTTGAAAAAATTCATCAAATAATAATTCATTTTTTAATCGAATAGTATCTTCTCTATATGAATCATCCCAATTTCGCAAGTCTTATCAACTGTTGATATTTATTTTGAAACTGATGATCACTAAGACTTCTATCCAAAAATTCAAGTTTCTATTATTTTTACTAATTTAAATCTTTTCATATTAAATAAACTAGTTTTCAGTTAACATTAAATTTGTTTCACATTCTATTATCTTTATCTATTAAAATGTTTCATATAAAATATAACCTAATTCACTTTCTTGTTACTATATATATATATATACTTCATCAATATTATGCAACAAATATATTAGTGAAATGCGTTTTTTTTTCTTTGTTTGAATTTGATATCAACATCTCTTACGATGGTCACATATTTTAGATTCAATTGTTGAATAAATAAAGATCATGTGCTTCTCTTTAATAAATAAATGAGATAAGAAAATATTTTATTCTTATCATTAAAATAACAACTAAAAAAGAAAAGATGAGTATTCAAACATTTTCATATGCGTTTATGTAGCAATATGTCGACGTTTACTTCTTCTATTCAATTTCTACTTTTCACTTTGACCATTCTTATATCCTTTGTTGGATATAACAATGGTCAATTAATGAAGAGTAGCAATACGGTTAATCAACCAGTGAACTTTCAAAAAATATTTTCGTCAAGAGTCATGACTAGCCAATGTCAACCAAATAGTGATCAATTTTGTTATCTAACAGAAGCTGTTCAACTCATACTCTTAGGTGATAAAAGTAATGGATCACAAACAGATATACTTTTTAATACTCCTACGTTCGATAATGCAACACTTAATGAAATACTTTTACTTGGACTTCAGCAAACAGCTTTATTTATAACAAACAATCCATCTTATATGCCTGGTAAAATAAAATTAAATATAAAGAAATTACAATGAAAAAATGTTTTTTTTCTTTTAGGTGATTTTAATTATTTAATTCAAGATCTAGTTCGAATAATAACACTCTTAGAAACGAATGGATCACTTGCTGTCACCTGGTATGATTTAAAATATTATATCCAACGTTTTATTACTCCTCCTAATGTTGCAAAACTTCTTGCATATAATTTTCGTGAAGCACCTAAAAATGCCAAGACTTATTTCAATGATATCTATCTTAAAGGTATTAAAACACCAGGTTGTCGAAAAGCATGGAGTTTATGGCTTGATGCAATGGCACAACCAACTAGAAATGTATGGGCAATACGTATGTTTGATGCAATTGGAAAGCCACCAACAAATCTTTTAGCTGCTAATACAAATTGGCTTGGTAATTGGCAAAGTTGTCATAAAGTGAAATATTCCAATGCATCATTTCAATTTAAAGGACGATATTGTCGAGCAAAAGTTCGTGCTGATCCAATATTGCTTGCTGGAGCTGGTCCTGCTCTTGAAGGTTTTCCTGGTGATCCAGCTGCATTAGCTGCTATAGATCTTGGTTTATGTGTACCTGATTTTTGTGAGAATGAAGATGTAGCAGCACTTGTTAATCATACACTTCGATTATTAACAATTCATCAGTTTTCAAATGTTCATTATGCTGATGGTGTACAATGTGAAAGTCCAATTGATCCACCCGGATCGTATTATGTTACAATCGTAATTATAACTATTCTAACAACAATTGTCGTATTAGCAACATCATATGATTGTTTATTTCGTTCAATATTAAATAAACCATATGCAACAGCAAGTACTTTATCAATGCAAAATCTTCATACATTATGTAATTTTTCATCATCACGTGAGCAACCACATGGAATTTTTTATAAAAACTTAGATGCTTATCAATATCAATTTTCTAATCGTCTTCGATTACATGGAATGAGTTATCCATCAGAAGCTGAACGAACAGCTGTAAGTAAAAGTCGAAAACATTGGTATAATCAATTAGTTTATAGAATTCATCGAATTGTTATTGATCTTTCAGCTTATACAGCAATACTTAAACCAATGTCAAATTCAGGTAAGAAAATATAATTATGAATAAGAATAAATAATGAAGTCAATTATTTTAGGTGCAATGAAATGTTTAAATGGTTTACGTGTTATTTCAATGGGATGGATTATATTCGGTCATACATATAATTATATTGGTGATCAAAGTTATTTTCTACTAACACAAAATGCACTTGATTTATTAGATTTTCAAAAACGTTTTGAAGCTCAATTAATTATCAATGCATTATATGGTGTTGATACATTTTTTCTCATAAGTGCTATGTTAATTACATTATCATTAATGCGTATGTTAAAAAAAAATGGTATGCCTAAATGGTATTTTTGGCCCATGATGTATCTTGAACGTTATTTACGTTTAATACCACCCTATATAATGGTATTTTTATTATATATATATGTTGTACCTTTCATTGGTCAAGGCCCATTATGGACAGCAAAAGATTTTCCGATGAAAAATTCTGATTGTCATGATTATTGGTGGGCATATTTTCTTTTAATTAATAATTTTGTACCAAATGGAGTAGGTACACGATGTATGGGTTATTATTGGTATGTCTCAAATGATTTTCAATTATTTCTTATTGCACCATTTCTTATTGTACCCTTATATTATTTTCCAATAATTGGTTCATGTATTTTACTTGGAGTTTTATTTGCAAGTTCATGTATATTAGCATTTAACATAGCTAATACCTATCGAGTTGGACAAATTCTTGTTACACTTCAAGCTATATGGGAAGGTAAGAGAGATATTTAATTTTGAAAAAAAAAAAGATTAGATGGTTATGTATCATTTTAGATACTTATACAAAACCATATTGTCGTGCTGCTCCATATATAATAGGTATTGTACTTGGTTATATATTCTTTAAAACTGAAAATCAAAAGAAAAAGATTCATTTACATCCGATATTTCATTTATTATTTTGGGCTTTAACAATTGTCTTTATGGCCACAAGTATATTTGGTAATTGGACAAATCATAAAGAAGGTGGTGTACCAATGACTCCTTCTGAATATGTTCTTTATTTTGTTTTATCACGTATTGCTTGGCCATTAGCAATATCATGGATTATATTTTCATGTACAAAAGGTCTTGCACCACTTATTGATACTATATTATCATGGCGTGGTTTTACATTTTTCGCTCATATATCCTATACAACTTATTTAATACATCCAATGATTATGGTGTATTATATGTTTGCACAACAAAATCTATTTCATGCGACTGATATAACATTACTTTATATATATTTTGGTCATTTTGTATTTTCATTAATACTTGGTCTCTTAGCACATCTTATATTTGAACGTCCATTTGGTGTTCTTATCAGTTTACTTCTACCAAAACGTCAACGATAAATGAATAAAAACTAATAACATTTTTATTTTTTTTTAATTTTTTAATGCAAAAAAAACAACAACGAAGCAGCGTTCTTTATTTTTGCAAAATTGATAGAAAAAAAATATCCCATTAATATATATATATATATACATGTCTATCTATATGTATATATAAAAGAATTAGTATTTCTTGCCTTTCTGTACATATAGTTGATTGAGATTAAGAAAAAAATATATCACAAGAAACAGACAAACACAAAATGAGGTTCAGTTGGAAGAAAAGAAAAGAAAGCAAAACTGTTCATTTGTTTACAAATAAGGAAGGATAAAGTAAATGTATAAAAACAAAAAGAAAATGTACTGCATTAAATCTATGAAAAGAAAAACATACGTATCTAAACTATCATATTTTAAGTTAATCATCAGGCGCAATATCCATGGGAACAGGTGGATCATAAAAACTATAAGCAAAAGATATGAAGACGTTTTCTTTGGATAAAAAAAATATTATTACCGTTGAACGTTAGCAAGAGCTGCTTGAGCTAAATTCTTTATTGCATCAGTTAATTTGTCACTGTATAAAATTTGAGTTAATAATGATTCACCATCTTCATTTCGAACTAATGTACAATATTTTTCCGCTAAAAATAAAATTTAATTCATTAAAAAGCTTAATAGTAAATACATACGGAGAACAGTAGTTAAATTAGTCATTGCCCAAACAGCCCACATAACACAACCACTTGGATAATTGTCACTTAATAATCTTAGAATGGGTGCTAATGATCGATAATTAATTGTTCGTTGTCTCCGTAAATCCCATGTTTGTATAGCATCACACATTTCTTGATTGACAACTTCTTGTTCAATGCTTGAACCTATTTTCCATGCATCAATACCATCGGAAAGAATATTTGCAAGAACTCCACCGCAATTATATGGAATTTCTATATCATTTACTTGTGATCGTTTTAATAAACTTCTATATTATTTATAATATAAAATTTAGAAATTATTAAAAAGATTAGCAAATTTCTTCAAACCTGAATTTTTCCATATGCATAGGAGTAACTAAATGATGTCTTAATTCTTTTACTTCAGCAACATTGCCTAGTAATCCTAACATATTTCGTATAAGATCACGTTTATCCGACCATAATTCTAAACAATCGTAATATGTTTGTAAACCATTATTATCTTCAAGAAACCTTCGACAATTCTCAGGTGTTTCATCAGTTATATTCCATAGTAAAGTCCAAGCAACTTCAACTATTTCACAGCTAGTTTTTTTAATTAAGAAACGATGAATTATTTCAATAGCAATCTAAAATATTAATTTTTTAATTTTCCTATTACAAGAATCGTTTTTCTATTACTTCAATAACACCAACACGTCCAATAAATAATTTCTCTTGACCATCAACACTACATGCAATATGATTAAGAACTGTTAAGGCATTATGAAGTAAAAGTGGATCATGGGTAACAGGTTCATGTAAATAAAGTTCAATAAATTTAATAAGAACATTAATTGTCTGTTCAAAAGCACTCATCTAAAGACATAATTATAAAAAAATTTATCGTTGTTAAAATTACTTACAATATGATTTGGTAAATGCATTTGCATTCGAGATATAGTTAATAATCCATTACGAATCATCTAAATATACACATATGCATATAAGAAAAATTATTTTTCTATTTACTGGTGAATGATGAATATGAGCTTTCATTGCTGTAAGAATAAGTATAAGTAATCGTTTTAAATAATCATGATATTTTTCTAACATTGTATCCGATTCATTTTGAAACATATCAACAACATAATATAAACATGCACTACCCGATGTTTGAAGACTACGATCATATAAATGCTTTTCCATACCATCCATTATTAACTAAATATGCGAAACAAAAAAATAGTTTTATTTAAATTAATTCTATCGTACTTTTCCAGCATCGAATGGATTTTGAATAGTATAGTGATTGTATAAACGAAATAAATGTGCCATAACATGTGTTAACATATTCGATCGTTCCATATAATGAGAAAGAGAGGTTATCATCATTTCCTCAGAATGTTCACCGGTTATCTAAATTGATTTATGAATACTTTATAGAAAAAAATTCTTTGTCATCTTGATTTCTCATTATAAAATGATTATAACACTCATTAAGAGTATTCACGATAGATAGAATAAACGGCAATAGAGCATCATTAGATTACAGAGGTGCAGAATCTTCCAAAAAACCAAAAATTTCTACCTCCGCGGAATTTATTTTTAAAAAATTTCCTAAGTTAAACTTCGAAAACCTCCCCGCGCGGGGGCGCACGAGCAAGATTCTACATCTCGGTTAGATTATTTGTTTATATTTACTTTTTTTGCTGGTAACCATTGTCTAGCTGAACCCCTTTCTTCAACATCAAATAGTCCCAAAAAATCTAATTCATGTTTTAATAATAATAAACCAGCTATACTCGATCGTATTGTAAAAGTTCTAAAAACAAAATTTCTTCATAAAAACAAATCTCAAATCATTTCTTCTAACATACTCATGTTCATCAATTGACAGTTCTTTTTTTATATATGCTAATTCTTCATTTGAATTAAATGAAAAGGCTCCTGCTAAATTTGTTCCACTTATATCTAATGAAAGTAATTTCGGTAATGATCTGATTAATTTTGCTAAAGTTATTGTTGGTTTTGAATAATTATGTGGTTCATGTACACGTCTTGTAAATGATAAATCAAGTAAAACTAATGCTTTTAAAGTACATATTGAATCAATTGCTAATTCAATTGTATCAGGTAATATATCATAGAGTATTAATGAATGTATATGTTTAAAACAATCAATATATGTTAAATTATTTAGCGATGAATTTCTTGATAAATCAAGAAAACGTATTTGTTCACTTGATTGTGTTAATGAATTATGAAAAAGCTCTTCAATTAATTCATTATTTGTTGTTGTATAAATACCTTCTAATGAAAGATATTTTAATTTCGATTTTTTTAAATAATATTTTGGATCGAAATAAATTTTTAGAAAAAATTCATCGACATTTGAATTTCTATCAGAAACATCTTCTGTTTGACCAATATATAATGTTGTTAAACGAGGAAAATATTTTGTTAATAATTGAAATATTTTATATGTTATTTTACAATTACGTAAATCAATAATTTCAATTAATTCATGTGATAATAAATATTTTGATATGGATTGATTGGTTATAAATGAACATGAATGAAAATCTAATTCACTTAATTGTATAAGTACTTCAGATCTAGATGAAATGAAAAAGGAAAAAGAAAAAAAATATATTTTAATTAAATCATTTGAAATTGTATGTTGAATTAAAAATTAATATTTTACTTGAATTCATTTTTTTGACCAGGTTTATTAAATAAAGAAAGAAAATAATCAGTTGAATTGGATGAATCTAATCGTTTAGATTCAATTATTGTTTTAAGTAATAAATTACCTAAACGCGGTGTTAAACATGATAATTCACATATATGAATAGGTTGATTAGAAACAATACGTAATAAATAATTAGATAAATAACGAATACCAATTTCTGTTAGATGTAATGGTTCATTCATTATTTTTCAATCTAAAAAGGTACTACTAAGGTTTATTAATAGACAAACACCGTAAGATAATATCATATAAGGCATTCAAGCATAAAATGATCAGTTTAGAATATGGAAATACAAAAAGACTATCACCAACAAAAAATAAATAGAAATGGAATGTGTTTATTCGGTTTTTTCGACTAGATACTAAATGCATTCGATATAGTGGAAATAGATTAATGAAAGCTTAATTCAGTATTAGCATTCGTTGTTGTTAATTTAACAACAGATCCATTATCTGGACGTGAAGATGGATCATTAACCCATTTATAAAATAATCTAAAAAATAAACTCAATTATTTGTTTAAAAAAATTGAAATTATTTGTTACATACTCAGCAATATATTCAAGTGGTGTCCATGTACTTGTATCAGCTTTCGGCATAAATTTACGATTCATTGGTGTATCCAACATTATCCTAAATAACGACAAGGTGTCTACTATATATAGATTGAATTGCATAAGATTGTTCGAGTGTGACGTTCGTCTCTTTTTTTTATCTTATATATATCTCCGACTCATTCTGACTCATAATATTAATGTATAGACACATACGGTGCAATTGTAAGTACTGAAGAGCCTTTAGGCATGCCACTGTCAGCTGCTGCAAGACTTTTGCCAATATGTATTGTAGCTGCTTTAGCTGCACCATAACCAATCATACCTGAAAATAAATAATTTTAATATAGAAAAGTTTTATATTCTTATGATCTAACCTGGTGTTGGATTGAGAGCAGCTGCGGCACCTGCAAGTGTTAATAAACCATTTTCCTTGAGAAATTTACTAGCTAATGATGCAGCAATTAATGTTGAATGAACACTTTGTTTCAACATTAAATCAGAATTTTTGATAAAATCTTTGTATTGAAATAGATTGTAATAGAAAAATAAAAATATTAAATTAATTTTACCTTTATCATTCGCTTTTCCTCCTGCCCAACCACCAGCAACATTTAAAATTGCTTCAACAGATTCGCCATTCAATGAAGCTTGAATTTCTAAATAAATTTTTATAAAATTATTTTCTAGATGCTTTTTTAATTATTTTAATTACTTTCGCTAATCAATTCAGCTTGTTTTTCAACACTTTCAGTATCACCAAGAGCGATATTGACATCCGCTTGTTCATTTTCTTTTAAATCAATTGATGTTACTTTCTAATAAGAAAAGAAAACATAACGATCATGAATATACTCAATATAATCAACTTACAAAATTTTTGCCTTTGAAATATTTAACTAAACAATCACCTAAAGCTCCACGACCTATAATTAGAAAATAGAGGCATTAACTATGGTGAATAAAAGTATATATTTGAGAATTTTATTTCGATGTATTCGATAGTAAGGCTTCTTTCAATTTTTAACCAATAAATGTTTACCTCCATAAATAATGATTTGTTTTGACATTTTTTTCGAATTTCTTTCTCTTCTATCAATCTGAAAAAAAAATAGAAACGTAATATATATATGTATACAGAACAGCATCGTTTTATCGTTTGAATAGAATTATCACAATTTAAAATCAAGGATATATGATAATTAAAAGAACAAACAAAAAAAAATAAACAATCACATCTCGATTATAAAGAAAACAGTCTGTTTGTTCTATTAATAATTCACATTAGCATTTTCATAAAAGAAAAAAGCACCATCACGAAATAAACGTAGTTGTC